GCTTGCGGCCCCTCTCGAGGGTCCCGTTCCGCTTTCTGCGCTCCGCTCGCGCGGGGGCTGCGGGCTGCCGTAGCTGCGCCACGACTCCGAAAAGCCCTCTCCAGCGTCTTGGGTGGAAGCTAAGGCGGGAGTGGGGTGCGGATTGTTTACACAAAGAGAGGGCGCAGCCGGTTCTCCTTACTGACCTCACCGCACCCAGGGAAAGCCTGCGCCGGCGGTGCAACGAGTGCCCCAACGGGTAGCTGGGCCGGTTGAATCCTTACCCCGATCGGCCCTCGGCAGAGGAAAGTAGCAGGCGACAGCGGCACCCAGGGCTGGCGTGCACACGCAAGGCGCGCTCTCGCTGCTGCCGCCGCCTAAGCGGAGGGAAAAGAAGAGCCTCCCCTCGAAAGGAGAAGGTGGGGGCCGTGACTCCCGGATGAAAAAAGGGCAAGGGCTGAATCACACCGGCCCTACCCCGATTAGAGGCCTGCTGGATAGTAACTCTTTTTCATGTTTTTGAAAGCGAGCGAGAGGGGAGGTACTCCTCTTTTCAGCGGGGGTTCGAAGGAGCTGGCAAATGGCCCTGGGCTCAAGGGTTGCCTTCTAAGGAGGAATGCTCTCAGGACAGAAGGCCAAGCCCCCCTTGCTGCCCCCCTCAGCACTTGGCTTATCACATTTCACAGGAAGTGAAGTAGCACAGTTCCCATCTGAAGAGCCCCCTTGCCTCACTGTAACATTAAAACCGGAGTCTAACCTGATGCAACTGCCTTGCTACTTTTGGAAATGCCATGCAGCCCCGACTTTCTGGGCAACATCTGTAACTGGTGGGAAGAGCCACGACAGTTAGTGTGCACACTTCCTTGCATATACTGTAGATGCATTTAGAGCTGGACAAGGAAGGACAACTATTTGGTGGCCAGAAGCCTCACATGACTTTGTGAGGGGGGAAGGGCTGAGTATACAAATTACTGAGTGTAAAAATGTCACACATTTGGGCGGAACCAAGAGGTTTGGGAGGAATTCTTCCTTGGTTTCAGAGGGAAGTCTTTTTGGCCCATTTTAGTAATTACAATTTCCAAATATTCCCTGCCTTATGACACAAGTATGTTTCTTTGCATTTGTGTTTAGATGGAATTTTGGATGTTGCAACAAAAGGGTTCAGCCCTGGTGCCTCATGTTGTGCACTCTTATTTAAAGAGAATATACTTTACTATAAACAAAAAACACACAGGCAGCTTAAAACTTAAACATTATAATATAATATTGAAGGATGGGATGAAGCAAAGGAATTGATTTGGGCTCAGATTATACTTTGGCACACGATCTGGCACAGAAGACTGGCTTCTGCAATTAAGAAATCTGATAGGAAAGTGTCTTTGACTTTGAAGAGCTCCTGGCAAAGAACATTAAGACAAACAACAAAAACCTTTCAAGTACTTCAGAATAGGCAACTGGTTACAAAGGTCTTCTAATCTGAGGCTGCGATTTTAACAGGAGGGTAAGGATACGGTAGAGGAACTGACTGAATTCTATGCATCTGTTTTCATTGTTAAAGATTTAGGACAGATGCCTGCGCTAGATCTGGGTTTTTCAGTAGAATTGGATGAAAACTGATCAGAGATGAAATCAGAGGTAACAAAAGATTAAAACTATAAACCAAATTAATCAACCAGAAATAAATAAATAAATCTCCCAGTTCAGATAGTTAGTATACAAGATTGTTTAGATCGCTTATTTTTTTCCCAAAAAAGTATGTAATTTTTCTTTTACTTTGGGATCTGTTCCTGAGGACTGAAAAATAGCCAGTTTGATTCCAATTTAAAAAAAAGGAATAAATAGTCCTGGTAGTGTAATATCTGTTCTAGGGAAGTATTGTAATTGAAAATATTAAGGAATAGCAAAATGATAGTAGTATAAGTCTTCTTGAAAAGGAGCCAATATGATTTTCATGAATGTAAATTTTATCTCACTAACCTAGTGAGATTAATTTTTTAATCTGTAGACAAGAGTAACTGAACAGATGTTGGGCTTTCAAAAAGGTTTTCAGGAGGTCCTTCACCAAAAGCTCCTGAGCAAACTTAGTGGTCAAGGGTAGGAGGACAGGTCCATCATGGAGACAGAAATGAGGTCCTACATGCTTGCCAACAAATACATACATACATACATACATTTACAGTCATGCATAATATAGGCCACATAGAGATGTTTTTCTTCCTCAATCAGAATGTTAACATTTTAGATTATAGAAACTCAATGCAATGAGATTCAAGACAAAGCTTGTGAGCTTCTCATATGCATCCATTTAACCACTCTGCAACACAGAACACTGGATTATATGAGCCTGACTTGATCCAGCAAAGCTCTTACGGGTCTATAACACTTTAGGCTGCATATGGGACATCCAATGTTAGACTATTCCAGTTGAAGAAAATTAAGAGGACAAAATAATGTCCAGTGTTCTGAAAACAAGGATATCTTATGAAAAGGGTTCTACTGATGTCTTCCTGAAGGAAAAATGATTTTATCACTTGAGTCTGATGACTGCAGAAATGGATTGCAAGCAAGGGGAAAATGGGGTAAGGCTAATTTGTGTCTACCACCAGAGGAAGACAACTTGTTTTGATATTCAAATAATAGAATAAACCAAAACGTGTACACTGCATTCAAGCAGCACTGCAGGAAACAGCTGGAGTAGAGGTAGGTTACATTCTTGCAACGGCGTGGGTTTTATCATTTATTTTCCTCCTTTTGAAAGAACTGGAGAGGCTACAGTAGAAAGAACCACAGACTACAGTAACTGCATTTTAGTCTAATGTGTTGTCCAAAACCAGCCCATATAGTTAAGTATGTTATGTGAACCCAGAAAATGAAGATACCGTATTTATTGGCATGTAACGCACACAGGCA